AAATTGAATTCCTTAACTTTAAGGATCATAATGGTACTGTTAGTAAGTAACCTCATTCCGAATAGGGCAAACACAAACGCCACCTACAACGTGTAAGATTTGTATATTTTGTACCAAGTTAATTGAAGGTAGGTAGGTAGTGGTAGTTCTTGTTGAAAATGCAATTACTACACTAAAAATGGGCAAAATTCCTTTTAAAAGTTCGTAAAGTAAACAATTAACATATTTCGAATTCCGAAACGAATAACATATAAGAGAAAATGAAGCTGCTTCCGGTTCGAAATTCGAATAATTTAAACTCGTAAGTGAAAATATTTACATTAAATTTCCAGAGATTATTTGTATGTCGAACGATACGTTAAACAGTAAATTATTATAAGAGAGAATAAAGTTGAAAGTCATTTCTAAACCATATTGTTTATTGAAAAAATACAAAACCGAAAGGTGATCCTCCCCATTCTTTTGGTACAAATGAAAATGAAGAATGGTAGTACATTTTCGGCGTGTAAATAATAAATCAGTTTCGATATACTCACATTATCAATTTCAGGAGCAAACCACTTTACTCATTTTACTCGAGAGGACCTATATACAAAAAGTAGGGATTGTGCTGGTCACAGCAGGATTTAAAACTTTCACATAATTTTGTAGGTCCTTAATCGAAAAAAGGAAATGTTTGATTCCCATTTGAAATTTTAACATGAAAAAAGTCGGTCAATGATTTCCTTTTTTCGATAAGGGACCTGAAAAAATTATCTGAAAGTGGAAGAAAATTCTAAGAGACAGTGAAATTTGGAGGCAAAAAAGGTTATAACAGCGAAATCGTCCGTTCAGGGTTATGTTACATAAGTTTGCTCCTTTGGGAACTACTCCCCCAAGAAAATTGCAATCCTGCGCTATTCTCTTTTGTGAGCCATAAAAGAATAGAACCAACGATTTTATCTAGATATTCTGATATGCCCTTTCCGATTCTATGGATGTACCTCTGTAAAACTCTTACTCCAAGACTGGGACATTTTTAAACATGTTTTCTGGAGAAACGTTGCATTTAAAATTTGTTATTTCCAATTCCATATTTTATCTTCAAAACCAGATACCAAATTTGATCAAATTCATCCAAAATTCTATTCAGGGATGGTGTACTTTGGAGTAGAAGTTTTGGAAAATTGTTTAAAATTTGAATCTAGCACCGGTTACTAAGGAAATAGAAAATTTGCAACTTGAAAGATCTACCCACAAATATAGAATGGTACTTTTAAAACGTTTGAAGGGCAAATTATCTTAGAAGGTGCATATACTGTGGATAATGTTACAATACAATAGAAATACAATAATTAAGCTCTTTGAAATGTACAGTCATTGACAAAAGTAATGATCGCCGAATAGGTAACCAACATTTGAATATACTTGTATTGTGCGACTTGAAAATTCGAGCCAACAAATTTAGATATCTCCTCCTTGAAGCAACCGACGGAGCCCGATGTGATAGGCATGTTGGTTGCTTATTCTGCAAAGCTTACTTATTAGGCGATCATTACTTTTGTCAATGAAAGCCATTTTCTAAGGCGAGAAAGTAGGTGTTACCGGGAGGGCAAATTTTGCTCGGGGTGAATATTGTGTGGGTGAATTTACTAGGAATAAATCTTCCAGGACGAATTTGCTTGGAGGCGAGTTTTGTTGTCGCAGCTGTTTGAAAATGGTTAGAATTCTGCGCTAGTTTGAATTTTTTACGAAGAGGGAGGTCAAGTGATTATGCATATTAATAATATAATTAATAATATTGTACAGGGTGAACATTTTGTCGAAAGGAGAATATTTTTTTTAATAGCTACTACTAGTTTTCATTGTATTTTTAAAGAGTCACTATTTTTTGATACAGAACCGTAAAAAAACTTATTATATCATACATATACATCGGTAATTACACTTGATTTAATAGCATAAATTCATGGAGTGCATTTTAATAATTTGTATGCACTTATCCCAGCAATACACTTACGTTTAAAAAACGTGTTTAAAGCAATTTGAAAAGATAAATTAGGTAGTGGTAGCATGATATACGTTTTTTCGTAGACCAATTTTATACTTTACGTTTAAAATATGATTTTTATTCATATACTATAGAGTTCATGTTCTACGTTGATAATGTGTATATAAATAACCGTTATTTTACCAATAATTTTATAAGCTTAAGTATATAACACCACTTTGATTTATCATACCCCATATTGGTTTAGTATTACTTCCTCGAAAATACGAATAAAATTAGGTATATTCTGTGTGTTAAAATTACGTATTGTTTATGTCATATTCTAACAAAACTGTTATAAGAAACGTTTAAAATAAGTAGATAAATAAACGTTTTTCGGTATTAACCTGAAAAAACGTATATAATACGTTTTTAATTTTCCCGTATATTGGAATATTGATTTGCTTACGTTCTCTACAAATACGAATATAAATGACACGGACTTACTTAAAATTACTACTGAAATTTGTACAAGGAATACGTTCTTTATACGTATATTTTATGTCTATATTTAATTTATACCTATAGACATTCTAAAACTGTTTATTTTGCATACTGTTTTACACTCACGTATATGCATTTGCATATGAGTTGTGTGATAGTTCATCCAAAAACGTTGCGGTATTTGGTAAGTTGACAATAATAATAGTATTATATTGTCTGATATTCATCGTTATTAGGACGTGGTAAAATATTATTCTGGACCGGAACCTGCATCGACAGCACAAAGTTGGCTACATCTACTTTAAACCGATCGCAGTTTAAATTGTCTTTTTTTGATCCTGCAGAGGAACGCTTCTTCGACAATCTCAAGGTAACTTTAATAATACTTTCAACAGATCGAAGTTTAAACTTGTATTTTTTTGCTTCGCAGAGAGACGCTTCTTCGACGCCAACCAGCACCTTATACCTATGTATGCCAAGACGGCAAGAATTAGAAATGACGCATCTTGGTAGTTAAAACGTCTAAAAACTTACAGCGCGTCTGGACGCCTAGCGATGCCACTTACCGATGCGAAGGCAGCAAGAATATCCAAGTTTGCAAATAGGCAATGAAACAATTGACTCTGAATGTTCGCGATGGACTTTGTAATTATTATGCGCTTTATAATTCAGACCTTTTGGTTTGATTAAATATACAATAATCTACCAATCCCATATATTGCATTTATTAAAAACGTTTATTAGCTGTATATTATCGACGAATTTAATACGAATAATGCGTAAGGATATTACTACATAATATACCATATGCAAAATTTAAACGTATCCAGTAAACGCATATTTAATCCGAAGGTCCATGGGAATAATAAACTACAAGAATATATCGCAATATCCGCCGGTCATTTATGTGTACTATATACTTGTATATATGTATAATTACGTTTTTAGTCTACTATAAACGCATTTTATACGTAAAGAATGGGATCGTATAAAGTACGTATCCCTTAGACCAATTGCAGTAGTAATTTTAACAAGTAGAATTCGTGTCCTTTATATTCGTATTTGTAGATTAAGTAAGCAAACCAATATTTCAGTATATAGTAAATTAAAAACGTATTATATACGTTTGTCAGATTAATACTAAAAAACGTATATTTACCTACTTATTTTCAACGCTTCTTATAACAGTTATATGAGTGAACGTATATTTACTTTTATAATATTAACGTAGAACATGAACTCTGTGGTTTACATATATGAATAAAAATTGTATTTTAAACGTAGGGTATAAAATTGGTCTACAATTATACTACCAATACCGAATTTTACTTTCAAAGCGCTTTAAAACCGTTTTTAAACGTAAAGTGTCTTTTCTGGGTACCCTTATTGGTATGGAGCTTATTTGTAAGCTTTTAAATACTGATTTGGGGCTCTTTGAAATTTTATATAATTTATTTATGTTGTCGTGCTAAAAACTTCTTAGTTCTGTGGTGTTTGGCGCTCGTTCCGTCGCGTGACTAACCCTCGTAGGAGTTTGCGGTGTTAGATTATGGGGGCGCAGCAACCCCAAAAATTTTTCCCTCAATAAAAATTTGACACCGTCGTAAGTGGTGAATATTTGCCCTAGGTACACTCACTTAAATTCCAAATTCCGCTTTGCGAGAAAACGCGCGAGGAAAATTGCGAAAACTCAACGTGAAAAATTCGCATTTCTAGAAATCTCATTCACTTTCAGTTACGAGGTTCATCAAGAAGAGAGACCAAACCAATTTTTGCAATTTGTTTCTGAAATACTGTGAATCTTCATGATACATTGTATTTTGTGCAAGTTTAGAAGACTGCCACAGTGGAGGGGGTACGTAGGCTATCGACGGTTTGAAATTTATCGCGATTTTTACACATTCATGACAAATTTTATTAAAACACCGGGAATTATTTGTATAAGTATTATTGAAATAGGTCACGTAGCGCCGCATGGCACAGATTAATTTTGAAAGCTCCCCAAACTTTTTCATATTTAGTAATTAATCTGTAGACGTCAAAGTGACAGTAAGGGAACGAAATCAATTGTTGTTCCCGGAAATAATTTAAATGTTTGATTTAAGAATCAAACTTAATTTAACTCTGAGCGGAAGTTCGAATATTACGAAATCAAAAAGCAAGCGGTGTACGCGAATACATTTATGTGAAATAGTAGCAGGGAAAAATCAAAATTCTCTTTGAAGTCTTTGTAAAAAATTTAAACTGTCGCGCACAGTAATTGTTAAGTAGAAATTCTTGTCAATATGCAACCATTGCCATCAACAAACTTTGCGCGCAAGAAACTTTTATTTCTCCTCATGCCTGAAATTTATTTCAAGTTTTGTATTCATTCTTCGATATTGACTCTTTTACAACTTTGACAATTTAAAAGCAGTTCGCCTACTTAATATTCACCCTGTATTTTAGCAGAGATACGATAATGATGCTCCCCTTATTTCCTCTGCTTGTTAGACGAATTTTAACTTTGCCCTTTTTTTTGTTTCAGAATACGATCTATTAGGGGCACTCAAGATAACGTTTCAGGAATCGAAAACCCAGTACATCGCGACGAGCGAAGACGGTTTTCCGGCGTTCGGTTTAAAAGCCGGCTCCGATGTCAAATCTCCATATCGTCTCTTCCTTCCCGAAAAACTTTTTCCCGAATTTTCAATTCTTGCACGAGTCCAACCTACTACTCGTAGAGGCGGTTATTTATTCGCAGTAGTTAACCCTCTTGATACCGTTGTTCAATTGGGCATTAAGCTCTCACCCGCCGGTCCTGGGACTAACATATCGTTAATTTACACACATCCTAGTCAATTTCCAACTCAAGTTTTGGCCGAATTTATTACCGAGAAATTCGTTCACAATTGGTTTAAATTCGCCTTTCAAGTTTTTAGCGATAACGTCACCCTGTACCTTAATTGTAAAAAATTCGGCAGCGTTAACATAAAACGCGAACGTCCGCAGCTGGTTTTCGATTCCGCTTCGACACTTTACATCGGACAAGCTGGGCCCATCATTAAAGATCCGTTCGAGGTAAGTCCATTTATATTTCACTTTCGTCGAGCGTTCAGATTTAAGCACTGATTACAGTTTACTCACTTAATAACAAAAAATTCACAGATCTCGCAGAATCTGTTACATAATATAATGAACAAGATGACGTTAAACCAGAAGTAAATCAGTATATGCTTTATTAAAGCGCATTTTTGGTATGACAGATGAGTATTTTATTAGTTCAAAACTGCAATGCAAACCTCAAATAAAATTTGTCATTTTATCGATCACGAGTAATCTAACTCAAAATAGACCAGCCTATAGCACAAAGCTTTTAGTGATAATTAGCTATTTCTGAGATGTCAGCCGCACAGCCAGCCAGCCATAACAAATATAATAGCGTATTTTTTTCTAAAAATGCGTTAAAAGTGTTCTTTTAAAAGTATTTAATTATTGACTTAAGTGTTAACGATATCTGTTTCTGTACAGATAAGTTATCTGGGAAAGGAACTAAAATGGTAAAATCAAACATATGCTGATACGATTAACTTTGCTTCACGTAGTAACCGCAATAGAGAATAGATGATATCACTTCGAATTTGCCAGGAACATGTGATATAAACTAACCTGTAAATAATGAAAAATATTGTAACAAGAGTAATATGGAAAATATCGTTACCTAGATTAAGGTTAGTAAAACTCATTCACGTAAATACATTTAGATAATTCTCAGTAACTCAGTAAAAACCTAAAACAAGTTCTAAAAGTTCTACAAGTTGATAGTAGTGTACACCAAAATTCTGCAATGTATTTCCCCTCCGTCAATAAAACACCTCCTTGCGCGTGTTTTTTGTACAATTGAAGAAAATCTATTAAGGTAATGAAGTACGTAAATATCTTTCTGTGATCCTATTACACGTTTTAAAAAAGATATTTCTATGAAGAGTAAAGAACGCGAGGAGGTCATTGTCAATCAATTATTTCAAAAACACACTTCTTCATCTTTCTGTAAACCTTATGCAACAGCTGTTACAAAGACAGAAGTTTCTATTAAGGAAGAAACAACGTGAGATGTCATCTAAGTCACACGTGCTTCTTTGTCTACGTTGCTGAAACATCTATTAGAAGAAAAAAGAGCGTGAAGAGGTTTTCAAGAAATTATAACCTAAAACGCATAGTCTTTCTGTAATCCTGATACAAGTTTTGAACATTTTTTTGTTTTATTAGGTAAGTAAGGTCTTAGCGGGTCTTCGACAATAAGTTCGTTAGTAAATAAACCTCCATGTCTTTCTTCGAGATCTGATTGAACAAGAAATTTATATTAGGAGAGTAAAAAACACCAGAAGCTTTTTGTCACTGAATTATTTATTCTAGTACACCTCATTGCCTCTCCGTGATCCTGGTACGAGTTTTAAAAATAAAAGATGAAGAAGAATAAAGAACATGAGGAAGTTTTCGCCAATAAATTATTTCTTAAAAATCACCACCATCCTGATACAATTGCTGAGCTAGAAATTTCGGTTACAGAAATAGAGAACGTGAAGAAGTTTTCATTTTATAAATAACGCCGTATTGTCTTTCTGTGATCCTGTTAAAAGAAAGACTCCAAACCGTGAGGAGATTTTCATCAATAAATTAGTTCATCAATATCACCTCCTTTACTTTCTGTAATCCTGAAGTTTTAAAACAGAAATGTCTAATAGGGGAAAAGAGAACGAAGGAGATTGCTTTAATTAATTATTTGCTAAATAACACCTCGTTGTCATACCTCCTGCTCTTACTGTAATTTTGCTCCAATAATCGTTATCGTTGAGAAAATAAAAAACAGGAAGAGGTTTTCGATAAATTTATTCCTATAAACACCTTAAATGTTTCAGTAATCAGTAAATTTGAATTAGACATTTCTATTAGGGGAGTAAAGTATTTTAGCTGAGCAGGTTATCGTTTGCGAAACACCCCCCCCCCTGCCTTTTCGTAGTCTTCATACCTACCACTTTTAAAACAGACAGAAGTAAAGAGCAGTATCCTGAAAAACATCATCTTGTCTTTCTGAAATCCTGATTTCAAAGTTTGAAAAAGATACTACTTTCTGGGTCTTGATACCAATAAAACCACATTCTATTAGGGAACTAAGGAATTTGAGGAGGTCTCCAGCAACAAAGTATTTCTTACACATCTCCTTGACTTTCTGTAACACTGCCACAAGAATATTCCTATTAGGAGAGTTAAAGAACGTGAGGAGGGGGCCTCATAAATTATTTCCTTAATAATGTCTCCTTGTCTTTTTGTGATCCTGTTACAAGCTTGAAATTGATACCAGGAGAGAAAAGCGGCTGGGAAGTAGTAAAATAAAAAGTGAGGAGGTTTTCGTTTAATTTATAAAGAACACCTTATTGTCTTGGTGCGATCTTGATACAAATTATGAAAACGAAATCTCCATGAATGGAGTAAACATGTGAGCACGTCTTTGTCAATAAATTACTCGATAAACTATTTAAAATTAACACTTTATTGTCTTTCTGTGATTCAGACACCACCATTTTTGAAAGAAAAATTTTTACTCTTGAAATCTATTAGAAGAATAAATAACGCGAAGTCTGTAATCCTTATACAAGCTAGTTATAAACATTTTTTATTAGGAGAGTAAATAATGTGAGGTCTTCGTCGACAAATTTGTTAGTAAATAACACCTCCTTGTCTTTCTAAGATCCGAATACAATTATTGAACAAGACATTTTTATCGGGAGAGTAAAGAACATGGGAAGCTAGCTGTCAATAAATTATTTCTTAAAAAACACCTCGTTGTCTTTCTGTGATCCTGATATAAAAAGGATTGAACCAGAAATTGTTGTTACAAAAATAAAGAACCCAAAGAGCCATCCTTACCTGTCTGTAATCCTGTCAAAAAAACATTTTTATTAGTAGAATACAACATGTGAGGAGATCCACCTCAGTAAACTATTTCATAAATAACACCTCTGTAATCCTGACAAGTTTTAAAGCAGAAATTTGTCTTAAGGGATAGAGGAGATCTCCTTTGTGAATTATTTTCTAAATGGCACAGTGTTGTCGTTTCATGAGCCTTATACAAGTTTTAAAAAAATTCTCCATTAAGGTCCTAAAGAATATAAGTCAATACCGTGAGATGGATTTCGTTTTTCTAAAAAAGAAAAATCCATTAAGGGAGCAAAGAACATGAGGATGTGTTTGCCAATAAACTATTTTTTGAAATATCTCCTTGTTTTTCTCTAATGCTGATTCAAATAAATTATTAAGGGAGTAATGAACCTAACGAGGTCTTCGTCAGTAAATTATTCCCTATAAAGCAGCTCCATATTTTTCTGAAAGTCTGATACAAGAAGTTTTAAAAAAGAGTTTGCATTATCGTAATAAAGATTGTAAGAAGGCCAACGTTAATAAATTACATCGTATAAAACACCTGTTTTTGCGATCTTGATAAGATCGTTAAAAAAATCAGAAAAGCCCGGTGTTTCTGAACCTGAGAGGTTCTTGGAAGACACCTACTTGCGTTTCTGTTATCGTGATGTCAATTAAAAAAAATATGGGGGTAATGAACCTGAGGAGGTCTTTGTTAATAAATTGTTTCCTCAAAAAACACTTCATTGTCTTTCTGTACTCCTGATTCAAAAATCTATTAAGGGAGTAATGAACCTCATGACGTTTCCGCGAGGGGTAAACCACTTCAAAATTTGTGTACACTAAAATTCTAAAAGAAATTCTCACAAATTGTAAAAATTCTAAGAATTGTATAAAATAATAGTTATGTGTGCATGTGCGTTCCGAAAAAAAATCTAAACAAATTCTAGAAAATTCTACAAAATAGTATTTCGTGTACACCAAAATTCTACAGTGATTTTCCCCTCGCGGAAAACCACTTCAACAAACAAATTTTTAAAAATTCTAAAATTGTTTTAAAAATCTAGAAAGTTCAAAAAACTGGCAGTGGTGTACACCAAAATTGTACAGTGATTTTCCTCTCGCTTTCATAGTATGAAAATCTCTTGTACTTATTACAAAACCTAACATTTTGTTTGCAGTCTGGCACATGATTTCAGGACAAGACACATCAGTATAAATTTCGGTACAATTTGCAACAAATTAATAATTAATCGACCTATATTTTTATTCCTATTGTGTCCGCAAATATTATTTTCCGAACGCTCATTAATGTTAAATACGTGCATGCGGCGAGTTTAAATCAAATTAACAATTTAGAACGTAATGGCTCTGACCACAATATAAACCTTTTGCTTATTATAACATAATAATAAATAAGTGCTATGGATAGAGTAAATAAACTCTTTGAAGTGGTTTTGTTCCGTTTGACTTTGATCTCAAAAACTCGACTGAAAGACCCTTCCCTTTTTGCATACAATTTCTTCTCTGAGGTTTTCGTTCCTTACAACATTCGTTTAACTCTCAGTTTTATATAGTAATATTATGTTATTCAAATTTCATTGTTTTCCTGCGAAATTATAGTAAATTAGCATTTCGTGAATAATAGGTGCGCTTACTTTAACGTTTCACTAACATTTATTACCATAATTGACATAAACATTAAATACGCGATCTTAATGTTGAAGATTATACGAAATTTACATAGGAATAACATTCCTATTTTTGTTATCCGCATTTAAAACGCCCCTTTTATCTAAGAGACGAGACTCTGATACGTTTAAATGTTAAACGGGAACTTGTTTATTTTGAGTGTATTAGGGGAAAAATTGACCAGGATTCAGTTCTTTTTATCCCGGAATAACATTCGGTGTATTTAGTTTAGCAAAGGTGGGCGTTTAATAAATTAAAATACTTTGCATTTGGTTATAATGTTGATACAATTTCTAAAAGTAGGAAGTAAAAACTGGGCACGAATTAATTCAAAGGGAAGTAATTCGTGAATTAGATCCTTTTTGATTAAGCTTTTTTTAGAAAATTTCGTAAAAGGCTTATGCTTTAAGCTTTATGTAATTAATTACAATTGAAAATATAATTGAAAAGTTTTATTAACATTTCACATGAACAAAAACACAGAATATAAGTAGATACAAATGGTTAAACCAAATAAAAAGGTAGAAATTCTTTAAAAAAATTCTTTAAAAGTTAAAAAAACAGCTCACAAAGCCCCAAAGATGCGTTAAAGTCGTGAAGTTGGTGTGCAAAATGCGTCAAGGAAGCGAAAGAGGAACGTGGTACAGAGGAAAAAGTTGTAAATGTTTGCTGAGTTCGTATCAAAATGCAGTTTTCGGCATAGTGTTCAGAAACATACGGAGAACAATGTTGAATTGTGCAAATAGTCGAAATTCTCTGGGGATGAGCAAGGGTGGCGATACAAGGAAGGAGACTTTTGAGTAAATTGTAATAATCCACACAAAAACCCACAAGTAAACGATTTCCGACTAATTTCTTGACATGGTTAATTTTTCACTCCACTGCACTCCAGCTCCTGAGCGTCCCTGGACAACTTAAAGGGCAGATATGTGTAGACCAAGAAAAGTAAAGAGCCGTGTACGGATCCTTGCGGTACTCCGCACGTCTGTAAACCTATTGGAGAATTCTCGATTAAATTCACATCTGCTTCTTAAACACGATGCAAAAGTACTCATTGAACCGTTTAAAGAAGCCAAATTACATTACAGTATCTCGCGTGACACGAAATCGGACGCATTTGGTAGATCAATAGACGTTGTCACAAAGTGCTCAACAACTGAATTAATTACACTGTTAAGCAAGTCCTTTTGTATCGGTTTATAATTGTGGCGAAGAAAACGCACGTCCGGCACGAATTTCGTACGTATTTACTAAAATATTTGCAGGGGAGTCGTTCCAAGATCCCCTTTCGAATCTAAGTTCGTTCATAATGCATTTTCGTTTCCGGTTTAAAAGCGGATTTAGGTGCGAGAAAAATTCTCGAATGACCATAGGCCCAACAAATTTGTAGACCCGCCCGGAGTATCTATATCTATATAATTGCCTTGTAGGAATTAATCGAACGTGGAATTTTTCATGTGGAACTAATCGGGTGGAAAAAGAAATGGAAGTGTCCCTTTGAGTTGAGCGGAGTTGACCTCGGACGCAGGGCGGAAGTTCAGATGAATGTCGGGTAACAGATGTAAAATGCGCATATGATTTCGCAAAAAAAAGAGGGAGTGCGGTAGTTCTTTCAGCTTCGGAATTGCGAAACGGGCCTTTTTACAGGCATGAAATTGAATGTAGGTATTCGTAAACGGTGGGTTATATTACAGCTTTTAAGGCTTTATTTTTCAAATAAAATTAACACTTTATTTTGAGAGAAAAACGGCAGAATACGCGAGAAGAAAATGCACGCTTGTCTTATACGTCGAATAGTATAATGCAAGCAGCCACTTTTATGGATCGTCTTAATGCAAGATGGCACTTTTGTAGTCGAGTAGTCTTATAATTGTCTCTTTGAGACACTAAAAATTGTCATATGCCATGACAACAGCTAAGATAGAACCTAAACAAAGCAAATTTGCACTTAGTACTGTTTTAATATAAAATGTACAATTTGAATTTCTGGTAATTGTCCAGAACTTGGGGTCTTGGCAGTCGATTCACTTGTAGAAATACTGCAGGTTCCAACCGATGACCCAAGTGCTAGGGCATTTTTTTTCTTATTTTCTAGTGAATCTGCCACATATCCCTCTGCTTTCCAATCGCCGTGTCTTAATATCGGCACCACAGTCTGCCATAATTGTTGCAGAGGTCCTCCGGAATTAATACCCCGTATAGTCCGGGCGAGAATTTCTAACGGCAAATCTTGAGACATTTTGGTGACAAGTGTTTTTAGGGTAATTGGACCCTGCTGAATCCGATTTTGTCTGTCACCACCTATAATTCCGGCTGCTAAGGCCTCAAATCAAGATGGCGCCGAAAATGGCGACTAAAACTCACTTTGAAATTTTCTAGTACATTATTTAATACTATCTTATTAAAGAATATGTAGCCAAAAACAAATTAAGATGGTGGTCAAAATGACGGTAGAAACTTGTGTTAACTAATTTCTTTAGTTGCAAAGAAAAAATTTGCATTTTGTTATAGGAGGATGGTACAAATGGGTTAAAATGAATTTTTCTACCCATCATTGTTAATAATAACAATTTGCGAAAAAAATAAATCAAAATGGTTCCCAAAATGCGGGTATTTTTATGACTTTTGATGATATTTTAATAGCAATTATTGAAATCTTTTTGAGCGCGTTAGGGAGATATTAATAATTATACAGAGTGGCCCAACGAGAAGTATACAGAGGGCTTTTAGGGTATTAAATTTAGAAATTTCGAAAAATCCTCGAACACGTCAATTTTGTATTCGAGAGGGACAACTTTTGGAATACAAATCACGAACCCAAGTCTTCACCCCTCTGCGTAGGGAGCTCAACCCCTAAAATTTTAAATGGAATCCTATGACAAATGGCACATTATTTGAAAGCCAATTTAATCGTGATTACTAATCTGCTTTGCTTTTTAAATTCTATTGATTCGTTTCGGAGATATTCACATTTGAAATGGTTTTTTTCCCCTGATTTAAGTCCTTTAGATTACTTCTTGTGGGGACATTTAAAGAATAAAGTTTATGCTACTCCGCCCGGAACATTACAAGGGTTGCGAGCACGTATAACCATAGTGTAAGAATAGAATACACTACGGTATAACTCAACAATTTCGAGCGATTACCCCTGAAATCTTGCAACATGTACGGCAGCGTTTTGAAGCAAATCTATTATTGCATGGAAGCAGGCGGAAGGCAATTCGAGCATTTATTGAAATAAATGTTGTGTGTTTAAAGTTATTTGTTATTTTTTGCACAATTTAAAAATTTTAATACAAGGTGACTTAGATCGCATTTGTTTTGGTTTATTAGAAAAAAACATTTCAAATGCGAATATCTCCGAAACGAATCGATAGAATTTAAAAATCAAAGCAGATTAATAATCACGATTAAATTGGCTTTCAAATAATGCGCCATTTGCCATAGGATTCCATTTAAAATTTTAGGGGTTGAGCTCCCTACGTAGAGGGGTGAAGACTTGGGTTCGTGATTTGTATTCCAAAAGTTGTCCCCCTCGAATACAAAATTGACGTGTTCGAGGATTTTTCGAAATTTCTAAATTTAATACCCATAAAAGCCCTCTGTATACTTCTCGTTGGGCCACTCTGTATTATAAAATCCTTATAAAGTTTTTTAGTTTTACAAATAGAATTGTTTAGCGTTTAAAACGCACTCGTAATTTAGGACCTTTCATCCAGAAATTGATTTAGACGCACTTCATGCCGACCATGAAGAAGCAGATACCCGAAGTGTCCTGCACGCTGTAAAAGCTGACTTCCAGACAATTGTAGTTGCAGCAAGAGATACCGATGTTTTCATTCTACTTCTGTACCATTTTTCATCGATGAGTTGCACTCAGTGCTATATGAGATCCGGTACAAGTCAAGACCGCAAGTATATTCCATTCCAATTCATAAAGTTTACGAAGCTCTTCCAAAGACAGTGGTCAAAGGTATTCTTGTATTTCATGCTATAACTGGTTTCGACACTACTTCCTACTTTGCTGGCATTGGAAAACAAAGAGCTTTCGGAGTATTCAAAAAGTACGCCGCCTTGCTCATTGGACTAGGTGTTCATCCTCTTTCAGAAGATACTTTAAAACGATGTGAGGAATTTATGGTAAGACTTTACGGCGTCGGAACTGTACTATTCTTGATGAGACAAGGCATGAATTATTTGGCGTAACCACCAACTTCAGCCACAGGAAAACCCCATATACTGCGCGCCCACTATCAGGTAAAGAAAACAAATCTGACCTACGTATTAGGTATATTATTTTTTGGCAAGTTTTGTTTTTCATTTATATTCTAATACAGCTCTTTTCTCAGTCTCTAACTTGGTACACTGCTGATAGAGCTTCCCAAACTCTTCCTCCTGTAAAGGAGTATGGTTGGAATAATGATGGTGATCGCTTGCAACCAATTCTCCAAACCTTGGAAGCCGTGCCAAAAGCATGCCAAAGTTAGGTACATTGTGGGTTGCAAGAAAGGGTGCAAAACTTACATGTGCAAGTGCCGGAGAACTGTAAATTCGAAAGGCAAACGCATGCTGTGCACCAGAAGTTACCAATGTAAAAGCGTTTGCACCAACAACGAAAGCGAAGAAACTCAACTTGTGCAATCTTCGGATTCAAGTGACGAATCCGAACAAAACCTAATGTTTTTGCTCATTTCTATTTTTTTAAGTTTTGTTTTCGATTTATTTTTTTATACAGTTTGTATACGGTAATAAATAATATGAAATTAAACGAAAAATAATGATTTTACTACTATACCTGGTATATCGCATACCAAGAGTCAAACTAAGCGCCATCTTGTCCGCCATTTTTGAAAAAGTGTAAGTAAAGTTTTTGTATTTCTTTTTTACTTAAGCAGGCACTTTGTAAACAAATTATAATTCTTTTGAATAAATCAAGAATACTACAAAACGCGGCATTTGGAGCTCTATTTCAGCCGCCATCTTTTTTGACTTCAAAATGTTTCATAAACTAGTACTAAGTGGCAAAACGTATGTGCTACATAAAAATCGTCATAATATTTTTGTTTTCAACAAGAAAAAAATGTTAAAGTGAGTTTTAGTCGCCATTTTGGCCGCCATCTTGATTTGAGGCCTTAGGAGCTAGAGAGGCAAAATCGGATTTAGCAGTGTCCAATTACCCTAAAAACACATTAAAATTCTTTGTCGCACGATTTGCCGTTAGAACCTTTACAATGCGCTTTATTGAATTTCTCGCCCGGACTAATATACCGTTCAACATTCGGTAACTCCAAATACTTTGCAATATTCTATAGGAATCTGTCTAAAATGTGTTGATCCCTACGGGGTTGCAGGTGCATTTGCCGTTGTTATAAAACAAAACAAATCTTTGGAATTTTACAGTGCGTTGGCCGAGAATTACTATACTTTTTGATCAATTTGGTATAATAAATTCCTCCACTTCAAAATAGTAAATATTCTTGGCCGACGTGTTTTGGTATCCCATGAACAATTAAAACAGGGCCGTCCCCTTTAACATAGTTTGTGTATAAGTTATTGAATTCCACTCTTCTGTAAGCCCCAAATAGTTCAAAAATGGCAATCGCCTTCAGTCGTACTAGTGCAATAACCCAGTAAAATACTACTATTTGAATACGCTTTTATTTATTTATTATGTCACAAACACATCTAGCCCATAGACAACAGATAATACTTCGCCGGCGTTTAATCTTACTCGTTCCGATCCGCATCCACTGCGGGTCTCCACATTCCTCCCTTTCTTCCAATCTGAGTGGATTCACTACCTTCAGGTTCTCAGATGGCTCGATGGCTCAGGGAACCTTCCGTGTTAGTTGAACCGTCCTCCAAATCCTGTAAATGATCCGATTTGTTGGATATCTCCGGTCCCCAGGTAGGTGATACGCCGCGCCGTTAGGCTGCTGAAAAGCTGTATCTCGGATTTTCTTGGCGTGGCTGATGTCCTCTCCTTCCAGAACTAATTTCCGGACCATTATTGAACTTTATAAGTGTCATTGCCAAAATTCGGAAAGAGTTTATGGGACATTTTACGTCCCCAACACGTATCTCAATTTCTGTCCTGTCTTCCCTGCCCTTCCCCTTTATTAGGTCTCATCATAGGCTTCTTCGTCCGGCTGCTCACTGCATAAATCATAGATAGCTGGGATTTTGTCTCTATTATTTCTGCCGTAGAGACGCTCGGACCGCCATTTATCTGTGGTACTATGCGGTGTGGTACCTATGGTTGATCGGTTTAGATCTTCCACTTCCCCCCAAAACAAGTGAAACTCCTTACTTGCAGGTCCGTTGTGTGTTCGACTTGGCTTGGACACTAGGAGACAATCCAAACAAGGTTCCACCATTTCTTCAGCTCCCCTGTCAATTTGTGGTCACCACACTTTCCCATAGGTAGGTAATCGTCGTTTCATAGCTATTTCTCTCGGGTGGCCCTCGTGAGCCAACTAGATCCTGCACATGTACACTATAGCAGAAAGATTTTAGTGAAAATTTGAAGTCTCTAGCTATTGTAATTGCCAGCCAGCCAGCCAGCAAAAATGCACTAAAAATATCTCTCTAAATAAAAAAGGTAGCAAGCGCAGTCTGCCTTTACTGGAAGCATCTGTAGTTGGCATTGCAAAAAATAGCTAAAATTATATGGTGAAGGTTTAAAGTTTAATTGCCACAATTACTCGTATTATTCAAACCGTGTACACCAAATTAAATTACTCCAGCGGTTTGCCTCTCGTTGGTACTCGTAGATCAAGGCAATTGATAAATAAGAAACTGTCCGATAGTACAATTTCCTGTTCTTTTCATTTCCGAATTTTAAATTAGGGGGCCCCATTCTGAAGTTGACCGCGAAAGTCGAGGTTAAGGTCATCCTCGAGATCACGACCGATTAGCCCCCTTAAAATCTCACCACCTTTGTTTGAAACTTTTTTCCAAAAAAAGATAATTCCATTGAGTTATTAAATCGTCTCAAGATAAATAATATAATATGTTATAATATATAGATATGGAAAGAAACTATTTTCCGAAGCTACTTTAGAAACAACTACTATCGTCTCTAAAAAAGATTAAGAAAATGTGATTTTCCTCTCCTTTCCCTAAAAAGAGTGAATAACGTGATATTTTTCTCTTTAGTGAGGAAAGTAAAAAACAATTGCTGAGTTAATCTTAATAATGGCAATTAAAATTGAAACATACCCGAATCTAGATTGCTATGTGTCAAACTTCATTATTGCATACGATAATTTTTCAATTTTGATTGCAGTTTCAGAAAAATTATGTGTAAAACTTGAGAAGAAAGTGTTTTTCAACCCTCGTTCAATTGACACATTTGAAAAACTCCATTTTCTTCTCTATTTGTACAAATAACTATTTTCTACTTTATTTCTTACCCCTTTACGCGCTTAACTGACGTATTTCCCCCCTCTGCCGTGCAGCTGACTATTTTTTTATCGGGGGTAAATACACGGTGGCTTGATTTTTAATGGGATAATTTTATTTTTACACGAAAGTTTTGTTGCAACGGAAATAGTATTTTACATTATTAGCCAGGTAAGTGAGTTTTTACTGGCGATAGGAGAAGTTGACTGGCGAGCCGTCAGGCGAGCCTGTCATCTCCTAAAGCCAGTAAAAACTATTACCTGGCGTATAATGTACAATATTTTATTTGTTACTCATTTGTAAACGTAAATAATTAGTTCTTAAATTGATCTCAAAGAAATGTCTAAAATATCATGTTATCCATGTAACATAGACTTCGCATTAATTCTGGCCAATGAAATTACTAGATTACTAACCTGTAAAATTTTTACACGTCAGCTGTCAGTTTTACAAGTCAGTAACGTTTAAAGATGACGTTTATCCGTTTGCGTTTTGTCTTGTTAATCAACGTTTACAACTGAGTAACAAATAAAAAATTAAACATCAAAAGTGTGATAGCTGAAGCGATTTGATCATATGCTTTTGACAAAGCTTTTCATCGAGTTTTTTCCAGGAAGCCGCAAAATTTGAGTGAATTAAAAATAGAATTATCCTGATTGAAAACCAAAATCGAGTGTATTTTAGGAAGATTAATAAAAGACAGTAAACTTTACTACCGCTATATATTTTACGCATTCTTACGCGCATTTTTATCGCTGATAAAAAGCTACCTAGCGTTTAATCAGATAAAAAATCATCTGATTGGTTAGAATTTGAAACAATCACCAAGCTGATTGGTCGTATATTAATGGAGTGTTTTAATCCTAATAAATGCTAAAATAAAACTCGAAAAAAACTTCATTCAGCAAAAATTGATTTTGTTTAGAGAGAGGCTTTGTACACCTTCGAGTAATAAAAGAAAAGAGAATAAATATGACCAAAATTAAAAGGCTTCATTAATACCTGGTCCAAAAAGTAAGCAAGTAGAACGTGTTCTGTCACAGTTTATCTTGTCTTAACTAAAAAGTAAATTTATCAAATTCTGTATTGTAAGTGATTTCAGATGTTCTGGGAACCAAACTAAGCTCTGCTTCTTTCGCTTCTTCACTAATTTCGTCTTTTGATGATTATGCCTCCATTGTTTAGTTTTTCGGGAAAAAGTTGAATTGTTTAGTAACTACCCAGCAAACACTTCCGTTTAAAAAACGTTTATAAAGCGCTTGGATAGGATAAATTCGGTATTGGTACCTAGATGGTAGGTATACGTTTTTGTGTAGACGAATTTTATTCCTACGTTTAAAATACGACTTTTATTCGTTTATATAAATCATAGAGTCAACATTCTACGTTGATAATACGTATATAAACAGCGTTTTTCAACAGTCGCAGTAGTACACTGCCATTTTGTGTTTTTCATCATAATAGCACATTATAAACTAATATTTGAATATACTAATAGATGTTTAGTGCTATAAGAATATATTAATAACATTAAGAATAAGTAGCCGTATGATTTGCGAAAATAAATAATAAAAGACGCCCGTCATTTCGTTAATCATATGTTAAAATTTATAATTTTATCACGCAGGCTGACATTTGAATCATTTGATTTTGAATTCGTTTTTAGTTCACTTTGTTAAAAGAAAAAGTATGGGCGTGGATCAGTATTCTTTATCAAAGTTAAATTGGCTTTTTTATTTTAATTTCCCTTAAACTTAAAAGGCAACCTTATATTGTTACGTTCTGGAACAAGTATAGACGCAGATTTCTGTACGGAATTAGGGCAAATCGAGTATGATGACATATAACCGGCAAGATTTTTACGAGAAACTTTAAAGAAGCGACTACGAAAATTGTGCTGTTTTGTGGTATAACGAAAAAGATGAGTTTCTTGTCAGATCTTCGTGTCTGAGTAAGTTGCAGAAACATTCTGTTTGTATAAGGGATTTCGAATTTGTCGTTTAAAAATCTACGTGTTCCATGTTAAGCCGCCGCATTTACATTTTAAAATAATTTCTCAACAAACTCTGCTTTATAAG